GGGGGGGGGGGGGGGGTCTTTAAAATTTTACAAAATACAAACCCATAAGATTATGGAGATTTTAAGGCTTGTCATATTATGTGTGGATTATTATGCATTTATTAACACTAATTTCTGTTATCAGAATGAAGGTCTCCTATCGAGGACATTTTCTGCATAATATTTACCCCTGTGCCTTTATAGATTCTCCTGAATTTAGATCAACCCAGATGCACAAAGGTGAAAAATTCCAGGTATGTTTTGGCATGATTTTTAAAGAAGATTGAAACTAGTTAATGTCTCATTCAAAATCCAAAGGATATGGATGGGAAAGTGGCCATGATTTACTGCAAGAAGAGATTACCATGTGGAATATATAGTATGACCCCATTTTTGTAAACCTTAAAGTAGTGTGTACATATACACAGGAAGAGGTCTAGAAAGATCTATCCTGATTTAGCCATTGTGTTAACACTGTTATTTCTGGGTTGTGAGTTTGATTGCTTTTTTGTTTTCTTCCTTTTTGCTTATTTGAATTTTTATAATTTCTCCATAGAGAACATCTAATGCTCTTGTTATGAGAAAAAAGGAAAATGTCAATTGTAGATAATCAGTGTTCTTAAAACCAGTATTCTTAAAATCAGTGTTCTTAAAAAAATGTAATTGGTTACTTTTATTGGGGAAAAACAGAAAACTGACTTTGCCCTAGAGAACCTACTTTGTTAATCCTTATGAAAAAAAACTGTAACCACTTTACTCTTTTAAATTTAATGAATATGTTTAGGGGCAAAGACTGAAGTTCTTCACAATAATTTGAACATGACTACTTAGCCTGATTCTCTTTGTATCTTAAAAAAAGTGCTCCATTATGTGACACTTTGTTCTGATTCTTTCTGCGAGTGTCCAGCTCTCCTATTTTATTCCCCTCATTATTGTTAGGAGAGTAACCAAGAAAATGGGTGAGAGTTTCCTTTAGTCTCAGCCTCTAGATAAACAGAAGTAAGGAAATATCCTGAGAACAGGTTTTCTTATGAGCCGGAGGGTAAATGTATTTAGGTAGGAAATGGAATAGAAGGGGATGCTATCACCTGAGGGAGGAAAAAATCAGTGTTTCTTGATGACAGAATCTTATCTTTGAGTCTCATTCTGAAATGCCACACAATTTGGGATGCCACATGGAGATAAAAGGGCACATTCACAGACACTACTTAAGTTTATTTACAATGGTGTCAGGCCTGCCCTGCTCCTACCCTGCCTGAGTAACTGGCCTGAGTAACCACATACCTGGTTAAAGTTATGTGCATTTACTAGAAGGTCTCATATAAATTTACCACCTGGCTGCAGTGCTGGCTGCAAGCTCACTGAGCTTAAGATAGAGGAGAAAGCAGATGCTGTACCCTGTCTCCCCTCATTTACACTCTCCCTTGCGTTTTCAAGGGTCAGCTCTGCACTGAGATTTATTCTTATAGTATCTTAAATCACCACCATCTGCAAACTGGCACAGGGCCACTTCTTTTCTCTCTCCCTCTCTCCTCTGACCACCTTACAATTTCTTCTTCCAAAGCCCAACATTTATCTGCTGCATCCATTCCTCTGTTTATAGTAGCAAGTGGTTTTACACAATAGCTCAGTTTCATATAATCCTGAAGAGACTGGCATTTGGGGAAAAGGTGGGAACTGAACCTCCTCTGTTTCCAGAAGCACATGGCCCCTGGGATATAACATGTACTGTCTTTTCCACCAGACTTCAAATTATGTTATAGTTATAATTAAATTAACAACAAGAAAGGCATTTCTGCCACTGGTCACAGTTCTTTTTCTTCTTGGGGACTAGGTATTGGGATTCGGTAGCTGAGAAATGTTCCTCATGTTTCTAAAAACATGACCAAACTCTAGGTACCCTAGCTGAGTGAAGGCTATTTATTCAGCCTTTCTGAAGACTAGTCAGCTTTTCTCAGCATAGAGTCTGGTGTGGCATTCCCTGATGGGTCAGTGGGTAAAACCTACTCTGGCATCATCGAGACTGTGTCCTGTACAGCTGGAGCAGATTCCCATCAGAGTAAGCCCTCGGGAAAGATTCTGTTTTGATTGTTTACCAAATGTTCCTACTGGCAGATACTCAACAGTAAAAATAGCTGTTGCACATCTGTGTAGGAGTATATTGCCTCTTCCTGAAGCGAGTTCTCAGTGAAAACTGGCAGGTGCTCCCAGGACCAACTTTTCGCTATCTGTGCCAGTGGCACTTACACCAGAGTCAATGGCCAGATGTCTCCGTCCACATGCCTTTTTACCTGCTAATCTCATTTTTCTCTAACTCTGAACAGTTACAAGTGTTCTGACAAGGAGCTGCTTCCTTTGCATTTTTCTTTCTTTAAATTCATTCTTTGGTAGGGGTGCTACTGAATTCTATCGTAGGGTGAAAGGAGGAAAGGAAGCAAGTGGACTCGATGACTGTCCCTTGAGATTGCACAGTGAATGTTGTTCAGGAATGTGCGGTAATTATGATGACCGGCAGAGTGACAGAGCTGAGACAACGACTCTAAACTTCCAGCTGCCCCCTAGGTGCTGTGTTAGTACTTACAGACCCAAGCTGCTGCTTAGAACTGTTGGAGAATCTTGAGTATCATTATCACAAAAGGTAGTTTTTTGTGTTTGGTTTCTTCTTTGTACAGTTGTTTCATATCCAGCGAGCTTTGCCATTTCCATTTTTCTTTTGGATTTTATCTCCCGCTGTTGCCTTGCCATAGTCAATAGCACATCCTGTGCTGTGAAGCTTGAAAATCAAACCTTTATTGACTTTAAAGGAAGAAGAATGTCTTGGAGGCAGATGTCCAAGCTCTGGTGAAATAAATGAACACTGAGTTATAACCGGCTTCTAAATGAAACCTTATCTTAGTGTTAAGTAAATCTTTGGGTTAAGTTGCAAAGCAATTTAATCTGCCAGTCTTGACTCTGCTGTGTTTTAGTGCAGATGAAAACTCAGTAAGAATTAGCTGAATAGACCACTTGCAGGACATTTTCATGTTCCTGGTGTGTGAAACTTTGTGCAGTACACGAAGAAAATAATAAATTCTCCCCTGAGGACAGTCAGCCAGTCACAGTGTCAGACTGCCATTCCCATTCCAGGACATTCAGCAATTCCCTCCGACACTCTTTTTCTTGATAAGGTCTTTTCATTATGTGAGGGTGTAGGATTGGTTTGGGACTAATCCAGCACCTTGAGGTAATCACAGCAAACCCGGTTACAAACGCTTAGTCTAATTCCCTACCTGAGAGAAATTCTTTTGTGTCTTCCATTACCGTGTTTGCTTGTATTTCTTCTGTGAAATTCTTCACAAGAACTCAAGCATGGCACTGCTGAGGTACCCTAATAACCTAAGAAGGAAATGTATTTCATGGAAGCTTTAAAAATTCCTAGATTGCATCATAAAAATTCCTCATTAAAGATATGTTTCACTTGACTGTTGTGACAGGAAATCATTAAGTAAATCTGTCTATTTGACAGTAATGAAGCATTAGCTATCCACTGAAATGACCTCAGTCGATATGCTAACTACCTGCTTCCAACTAAATGCCTGCTCTTAGGGACTTGGAAGACGCATACATACTGTAGGTATAGCTTACTATTTGAATATTGTTACTACATTTAAATTGAATAATAATTTTAACAGGTTTAAAATTGTTTTCCACCATCAATAAGAAATGGTTGCCTAGTCGCATGTAAATCAATGAAGTCAGAACACACCCTCTGACCATACACAAAAATAAACTCAAAATGGCTTAAAGACTTAAACATGAGACATGCCACCATAAGACTCTTAGAAGAAATCATAGGCAAAACATTCTCTGACATAAATTGTATCAATGTTTTCTTAGGTCAGTCTCCCAAGGCGATAGAAATAAAAATAAACAAATGGCACCTAATCAAACTTACAAGCTTTGGCACAGCAAAGGAAACCATAAACAGACTGAAAAGACAACGTATGGAATGGGAGAAAATATTTGCAAACGATGCGACCGACAAGGGCTTAATTTCCAAAATATACAAACAGCTCATACAACTCAACAACAACAAAAAAACCCAATCGAAAAATGGGCAGAAGACCTAAATAGACATTTCTCCAAAGAAGAAATACAGATGGCCAATAGGCACATGAAAAGATGCTCAACATCACTAATTATTAGGGAAATGCAAATCAAAACTATAATGAGGTACCACCTTACACCGGTCAGAATGGCCACCATTAAAAAGTCTACAAATAACAAATGCTGGAGAGGGTGTGGAGAAAAGGGAACCCTCCTACACTGTTGGTGGGAATGTGAGTTGGTGCAGCCACTGTGGAAAACAGTATGGAGGTTCCTTAGAAAACTAAAAATAGAATTACCATATGATCCAGCAGTCCCACTCCTGGGCATATATCCAGACAAAACTATAATTCAAAAAGATACATGCACCCCAATATTCATTGCAGCACTATTCACAATAGCCAAGACATGGAAACAACCTAAATGTCCATCAACAGATGAATGGATAAAGAAGATGTGGTACATACATACAATGGAATACTACTCAGTCATAAAAAAGAATGAAATAACGCCATTTCCAGCAACATGAATGAAACTAGAGATTATCACACTAAGTGAAGGAAGTCAGAAAGAGAAAGACAAATACCATATATCACTTATATGCAGAATCTAAAATATGACACAAATGAACCTATCTATGAAACAGAAACAGACTCACAGACATAGAGAACAGACTTGTGGTTGCCAAGCAGGAGGGGGTTGGGGGAGGGATGGAGTGGGAGGCTGGGGTGAGTAGATGTAAGCTATTATATATAGAATGGATAAGCAACAAGGTTCTACTGTAGAGCACAGAGAACTATATTCAGTATCCTATGATAAACAATAAAGGAAAAGAATATTAAAAAAGAATATACATGTATAACTCAATCACTTTGCTGTACGGCAGAAGTTAACATTGTAAATCAACTACACTTCAATAAAATAAGTGGCTTCCTACTGTATATAAAGTAGATAAACAACAAGGACCTACTGTACAGCATGAGGAACTGTATTCAATATGTTGTAATAACCTATTATGGAAAAGAATCTGAAAAAGGAGATATGTATATATGTGTATAAACGAATCCCTTTGCTATATACCTGAAACACTGTAAATCGACTATACGTCAATATTTTTTCTTTTTTTTTGCGGTACGCGGGCCTCTCACTGTTGTGGCCTCTCCCCTTGCGGAGCACAGGCTCCGGACGCGCAGGCTCAGCGGCCATGGCTCACGGGCCCAGCCGCTCCGCGGCATGTGGGATCTTCCCGGACCGGGGCACGAACCCGTGTCCCCCGCATCGGCAGGCGGACTCTCAACCACTGCACCTCCAGGGAAGCCCTACTATACTTCAATTTTTAAAAAAACATTTAAAAAAATATAGGAAATGGTGGCTAAGCAAATTATAGTATCATTTTGAAAGTATTATTGCCTCAGGGCAACTTGAGGTTATTAAAATGGTTGAAGAAAAGTTAAATGCATATACATCACCTAAGTGCAACGACGACTTCTTTTCTTGGATGATTTCCGACTCCTCTTTTAACTTCTTCCCCCACTGTTCATGAACTGTATCTTCCAAAGGCATGGATGACATCTTCGCAAAATGAAGGGACCTCAACATTCCTAACCCTTTCTTCAACACTTGGGCGCCGGACTGGGCCACCGTGCGTGCCCGGTGCTCACTTTCTCTAATTGCTCCTCTAGAATGTTACTCGGTTGCCTTCTGTTTACGTGCCCATGTCCTACTACCTCTGGGAACTCCTCAGGACTGGCTTATGTGGCTCTTGACCTTATACTTCTTTAAATCTTTTTTTTCCCCTTGGTCACATGTCTTTACTTCTTATCAGCTTCCTCCACTAGAATGTAGGCTTCAGGACATCTTGTTCAGCTGTTCTTTGTATGCAGGATTCTTGATGGTGAGTCAGCCTTGTGGTCACTTCACCAAATGCCTTTCTCTGTGACTGTCTTGATGAATCTAGGACACATTGGGTAGGGTTTGGCCTGGTGGAAAAATATGCCTGGGCTGGAAGTCAGCAGTGCTCACTCCACCATTCATTAACAAGTGTTCCTGCCTAAGTTTTTTGGTGCTTCTCGTTTGTTTTTTTATAAATTTATAAATTTATTTATTTACTTATTTATGGCCGCGTTGGGTCTTTGTTGCTACACGCGGGCTTTCTCTGGTTGTGGCAAGCAGGGGCTACTCTTTGTTGCGGTGCGTGGGCTTCTCATTGCGGTGGCTTCTCTCTCTTGTTGCGGAGCACAGGCTCTAGGCGCCCGGACTTCAGTAGTTGTGGCCCGCAGGCTTGGTAGTTGCGGCTCGTGGGCTCTAGAGCGCAGGCTCAGTAGTTGTGGCACACAGGCTTAGTGGCTCCGCGGCATGTGAGATCTTCCCGGAACAGGGATCGAATCCGTGTCCCCTGCATCGGCAGGCAGATTCTTAGGCACTGCGCCAGCAAGGAAGCCCCCTGGTGCTTCTCATTTGGCATCTGGATAATGAGGAAGAATGTTATCTGTCTTACCTCAAAGGCAATTTTAAGGACCTGCTTACATGATAGATGTAAAAACACCTTAAATGTTAAAGTACAATACATACTTAAAGTGAGTGGCATTATGTGTACCTGTCATTTCCTACTCATTCTCTACCATTTTCCCCTGTTCTGTATTTGTCAAAACACTTACTGCCACCTGAGATTGTCACATTTCTTCATTCATCATTGGCTTCCTCCACTGGAATGTAAGCATCACAGGGCAAGGATCTTGGCTATTTTGTTCACAATGGTAACCTCGGTGCCTTGAACCGTGTCTGGCATAAAGTACGAGCCTAACAATGTATGTTGAAAGAATAAATGAAATTTAGTGTTTTACGGAGCCATAGAGCTGCTGATGCATTTCTTAAATCCCAATGTGTTTGGTTTGGGGGATTTATTGTTTAATGTATTTAATATTATTTAATAGAATAAATAAGTGCAGTTTTATTTTTCTAGGAACACTGACCCACCTTTTGTAGCCAAACCCTCTAAGTTACTAAAGGTCAGATTTCAACCACTGACATAAGGAGAGAAGCTGGGTTTTCTGTTTTCTCTCCTAGTAGACATAAATACCTCCTTGTCATCTGAACTATGTTTACTTTTTTTACTAACAAAGGGTAAAGAGCTCCTTTGGAAATCTTTGCTCTGAGCCCAGATATGACTTCATGTCAATTTAGAAACCTTTATTAACCTCCCACTTGGACAAGCATTGGGTTTAATGTTGAAGATGTAAAAATGGTTTTTGCCTTCAACAGTATTTGTGTTCATATGTTAATTTCTTCATCAGTAAACCTGCACTGAGCACCACTCAGTGTTGGAAGCCAGGCATTCAGTATGAAGATGCACAGTCCCTGCCCTCAGGGTGCTCAGGAGAGAGAGTGGACCATGGATGAGCTTGAGTTCAGTGATAGGAGTGCCACGTGAAGCTGACAGAAGGACCTGCATGGGAGGAAGGGTGTCCTGACCCTGAACTTGGAGTGAGGGCGTGGCCCCTTGCTCTGGAGAGAGGATGTATTTAAGGAATACTTAAATTCTGTGTAGTGCAATTACAATGCTTTCCCACTTTCCTATATAATAACACTTAAGGAAAAGGTATGGTTTCCCAGTTCTGAGCTAACTGGGGGATCTCTGTGTGTGTCCCCAGTGGGCTACCCTTGGTAGGTCACACTCAAGAAATACCTATGACAGAAGGACCCAGAGAAGGACCCTTACTAGCCATATTTATCAGTAACCATCGGGGCTCTAAAACCAATTCACGTGAGTCTGCTTTCTCATTCTCTAGTATAATTATCTGGATATAAAGAAATATTTAGCCATAAATTGTACATCCAATTGGGACATCAGTCTAGCACACTCTGTAGCAGTGCTATTGACACGGTGGCCATTCTTCTATCACCAGACCTCACAAAACAGAACAACAAAACTTGAAGACTTTGCTTTCATTTAGTCTACAGATTGCTTGGTTTTAAATGTAATGTTATACTTAGTTATAGAAGCTAGTGTGTATGGATCTTATTTTAACTAATATGACAAAGCATTGCTATGATAATATCCACTAAATTATTCTACTCTTCCCTCCCCCCAAGTTACTAACATCATAATTCATACACATTTTTCTCTCTGTTTCTTTGGCAGGTCACCATTATTGCAGATGATAACTGTAGATTTTTATGCTGGTCAAGAGAAAGATTAACTTACTTTCTGGAATCAGAGCCTTTCCTATATGAAATATTTAGGTATCTTATAGGAAAAGACATTACAAATAAGCTCTACTCATTGAATGATCCCACCTTAAATGATAAAGTAAGTGTTTTTCTGAGTCTATTTTGTTAAATACATATGTATAGTTAGGTATATCTCCTTTTATGCAATATATATTTTCCTGAATCTTCATTAATTAGTCATATGTTAAGTGAAGTGGGGATGCTTGTAATTTATTAGAGACCCTTCAGGGAATCATTTCTCAAGCGTGAGGAAATATTATGCAATTATTATATTTTCCATGACCTGGTGAGGTGTCTGTGAATGTCAGGGACCTCCATTTGTGGTGATGAGGTGCTATCCTCTTCATAAAGAGTCTTTCAAGCAATCTAAGGAAGATGATAAATGAATGGAAGGACTAGGCAGTGATGGAAGGACTAGGCAGTGGTATAGGCCATGGAAGGCGGGGCAGGGGGAGGTTGCAGACTGATAAATGCTGATCAGCCCCAGCAAGCAAGAGGTTGGCTTTTTAACCCTGTGTCTTCCAGTCTTGCACATTCTACTGGTCAGGTCCCCTCCCAGAACGCCCATAAGTGACGAGAGGTATGGGATGGAAGCCTGCGGCCATTCAGTTAGGAATTTCAGAGCTGTATAGATCTCCAACGATTTGCAGTTTGATCTCCACTTCCCCACATTTGCTTAGAAGGAAATTAAAATGATTACAGAAGAGAACTTGCAAACCTTGTTTCCGTGATAAGTACTGTTCTCCAGGGACTATGAGTATGGGTGTGTGCATCTGCGTGTCATCTTGGTGAAGGCTGTTATCAAATTAGGTTGGTGCTTACTATTTTTCAGATTCATAAATAGGCTATTGAGTATATTACATTTTTCCTAATGTATTTGTAGTAACAGCTTATAATAAAAATTACAGCTACCATTTATTGGGCACTGACTATGTACCAGATAGTCTTCTATTTCAAGGAAAAGTAAATGTTACTTACAGGGAATAGATGATCTAAGTCTCATGGCACTCAGAAATCTTACAACTTTGGTTTATAGACGGTCCAAAAGTTGGACCACCAGCTCAGCCTTTGCACACAGCTGTCCATGCTGGAAATGAGGAACAGTATAGTCAGCTCCAGTGAAGATGAAGACGGCTTACACCAGTTTCTTCGAGGCACCTCCAGCGTTTCCTCTCTTCGTAAGTTATCCCCAAACTGGGATTCTGATGGCTATTGCTAGAAAAGAACAAAAGACAACTTTGATCAGAAAAGTAACTTTTCAAGTAGCAAGTGTTTGGCAACCTAAAGGTAACAATAAAAATAATCAAAACTTTCCTAGCTTTTTTTCTTTTTGTATTGCACATCAGTTAAAATCCAACTCTAGAATGCTTATTTCCATTTCAGAAACTGTCCACTTGTTTTGCCATATGCTTTTCTCAAACACTGGTTCAGAAGGATAGTATGAAAGAGTCCGTATGGTTTGCTGGGTATCCAAGCCTTGTTGTTTTCATGATTTTAGTGGAAGTGTGGGCCCAGCATCGTGTTTAAAATGGTAGGAAGCAACAGCTGGAGGTTGTACTGCCAGCTGTTATCTCAGTGTGACCACCAGAAGTTAACAGGTGGGTGGGTAATGGAATTTTCCTGAAGATTAAGAAGGCCACTCAACACCCCCGTGAGTCTCCTCATTCACACCAAGAGGCAAGTTTTCCAAGATTCCACTATAGTCTAGATTGTTGTAAAACATTTTAAATAATACTAATGGCACAGATGTTGACGATTAAATGCTTAACATTAATGCTTAAAATTATTTTAAGAATTATTCCAAGAAAGGTAGTATAAGACTGTGGAACAAATTCACGGGAAAGAGCAGACAGGCAGACAGGTTCTCTCACTGCCTGAGCTAAAAATTATTAATCTTTACAATTGTATGTTAAGCCAAGGTAACTTCTAAGAAAATCCAGATACGCATTCAACAACCCTAAGCGTTTATGTAAATGATCTTGTAACTTTGGATGCTTTAGATAAATCGGATTAAGGATTTTAAGTATCGCATAGTCAGGAGAGGCTGGAATTGACAAGGCCATGTCAATGTAAGCTTCAAAGCAAAGTCTAGGCATAGAAATGCGCTGTGGGCCTAAAAGAGATTTCAGGAACAACGCAAATGAGAACCTGGAAATGGCTATATTTTATTCCAAAGTAACTTTTAGAAAGTACAGCTGAGGTTGACCAAACTCTGAATCTACTAGCATGTCAGATGTGTTATCTGCCTTGTTGAAACAGTTTGATGGTCGGTAAGCATTTTCAAATGGACCCACCCTAATTACATGTACAGTGATTTCTAAGAGAGGCCAGCAGAAAGGGAATTACAGTGAAATATTGTATGTGAATTATTTTTCCTGTAGAATATCTTTTTTTGTAGTTTTTTTTTTTTTCTTAGTCCTACAGTCTTGCTTAGGAAGCCCTGAGAATGGGCAGTTTATACTATGGCCATTCGTTTTCTTAAAATCAGTTTTGTTTTTCTGTACTATTTTCTTGTATAATCTAAATCTTTTGGACATTTTAACATTTTAGAAAAAGAAAAAAGCTTCTCTAGAATATGTTATTTAAACAGAATTAGAACATGTTTTCAAGATTAATGTTTGCACTGTACTTGCCTTCAGAAACCTTTATTTCCAGGTGTTCCGTGGATGGATCACACACATTGTGCATACAGACCTGGGTTCTTGCTCTAATAATTCTTAGCTGTGTCACTTGGAGTAAGCCGTACGACCTTTCTCATCTGACATGAGCTGTCATATTTCAGCACAGGCCTGGATCTGGTCACAACTCCTGGTCTGTTTCCTTCCCTCTCCCTTATAGAGAATCGTGAGTTTAATCCAAAAGTCCATTCCCCACATGGATAACTGAAGCTTCTGTGTCTGTGAAGAAGTGGGCAGCCCTCGGGGGCAGGGGGGGCAACTTTACTTCTCAGTTCCCTTGTCCAGTTGTACTTTGCTGTACTGAAAATATGTACAACTTGCTTATGTTGTTTATTTTAGTCTCAGGTTTATTATACAAGATCTTACATATTGATGCAAATGCATAGAGCCACATATGTGTGCATACTTTTGAGTGTGTGTGTGTGTGTGTGTGAACCGCACAGCAAATCCATGTTCATACCTGCTTCCTTTTTTTTTTTTCTTTTTTTTTTGCGGTACGCGGGCCTCTCACTGTTGTGGCCTCTCCCGTTGCGGAGCACAGGCTCCGGATGCACAGGCTCAGCAGCCATGGCTCATGGGCCCAGCCGCTCCGTGGCATGTGGGATCTTCCCAGACTGGGGCACGAACCCGTGTCCCCTGCATCGGCAGGCAGACCCCCAACCACTGCGCCACCAGGGAAGCCCCATACCTGCTTCCTTTTGACCAGTCTTCATTCTTGGCATCACTCCTGCAGTTTAATGAAAGACATTATTATCTGAGCACAACACTGATATTAATTACGAATTATTTAATTCACCCTATCGCGTGATTCATTAAAAACTGGTTAGTTCTTTTTTCTCTTACTTAGATTTTATCCTGGAACTACTGAAGGCTGTTTTCGTTTTTCTCTTGCCAGATCCATCAATATGCCATCGACTTTTCCAAATTACAAATTACATTCCTTGTAAAACAGAGAATACAAAACCAATCTCTCAGGACTGTTAGGCTGAAATAACGAAATTTAGCACACTTTGAGCATGCAGTAGGCCTTAGTCAATGTTAGGTCCCTAAAACAAGTGCTTAAGCTCTTATTAGTCTGGATTTTTGATGTGCACATGGGGGCAGCTGGGGCAGCTGCTCTCAGCAACAGTATCAGCTTCATGAATGCTAGTGGAGAGAAGGGAACAAACATTTATTGACAATAGCAGGTGTTATTTTTTTCAGTTATTCTCTATACATAATCACATTTAATCTTCACTGCAGTCTACACAGAGGAGAGGTATCTTAGCTTTCACTAGATGATGCAGTGCCAACAGACGGTTCCCTGAATCTCTGGCTGCAATGCTTTCTTTCTCGTTCACCTGCACACTGGATGCTGCTCCAGCTTGTATCCTCCTCACTCTGGAACACCAAAGGAGCGGCCGCTGTTTGGGTAAGCTGCCACTCGTGGCATAGGGAGGACAGTGGTGGCACAATCACCCCACGGCTCTTAAAGCTCCTGTTTTGAGGTAGCACTTGCCACTTTCACTCATGTCCCCTGGACCAGAGAAGTCACTTGCCAGAACCACCATGAATGGGTGGCTCTTTAATCCTCCTTCAGGGGCTACACAGGAAGGGAGGGAAAGCAGGCATGTTGACAATAACAAATCTACCGTGATGAGTATCATTTCACTTTGCCGAGAGGAAATTGGGAATATGAGATGCGTACTCACTGTTCCAGATCCTCAGGGGGAGGTGCTGGCAGACAGACATACCCTGTCTGATTCCTCAGTCCATGATTTTAGACCATATTGCCTCTGTGGTTTAAAAAGAAAAGGAAAAAAAATGCATGAAATGTTTGACCGGTGCTTTATAATTTACAGGTCACTTTCACACCCATTCTTGCATTTGAACCTGATGACTGCCAGCTGGACACAGCGGCCGCTATTACTCACCTCTTTGCAGACGAGTCCACTACACTTAGGGAGAAGGTAGTGTTTGTCAAAAGTCACTTCTTCCCCCTCCATCCCACTTCCTTCAAGAAACCTACCATCCCCCGAATCCTTCATTAGAACAAAGCAGTGCCACAAATAGGTTTTCTTAGACCAGTTAATTTCCATTTCAAAGAAAATTTTGGCCTTAATCGTTGTATGGAGGTTCTATGCAGGGACATTTAAAATTATCCAATAATATTCTCCAGTCAGTTAGCTTTGGGTTAGCTTTCACATTGCCTCATATATGTACTTACAGAACAATGAGCAATGCTGCTCTGTAAAAATTAAATTTATTTTATATATTTTCCTAACCAAAAAACTTTGACATTATTCCTTCTAGTCATTTACTCAAACATAGAAGTAGATTTAAATACTAAAATCCATTTCAATATTTCTCATAATTATTTTTTAAATCAATATCAGGATGTACCCATTCATGGTGGTTCTGGCCAAGTGACTTCTCTGGTCCAGGGAACATGAGTGAAAGTGGCAAGTGCTACCTCAAAACAGGAGCTTTAAGAGCCGTGGGCTGAAAAGTCTCTGAATCTCTAGGCTCCCCTTTCCATCTCTTTCTGTCTCTCTGTGTTTCAGCTTTTTGTTTTCTTTTGTTTGTCCTATAGAGAAGAGATTCTTAAACATACCTGTGCATATGCGTAACTTGGAGATCTCATGAAAGGCTTTGGTGCAGCAGATGGGGGTGGGGCCTGGAAGTCCATGTGCTTATGTAGGTGCCCACGTGATGCTGATGTGGCTGGTCCCTGAACTATGCCTTGAGTAGTGAGGCTGTAGAATTCCCTGCATTCTGGAATTTGGCTGATTGCATTCCCCTGGTTGTGATTAAGATGCTTCTTGTATTTCTTGAGGCTCACATAGACTCTGGTGAAGACTCTACTTTTTTTTTTTTTTTTTTTTTTTTTGCGGTCCGCGGGCCTCTCTCTGCTGCGGCCTCTCCCGCTGCGGAGCACAGGCTCCGGACGCGCAGGCTCAGCGGCCATGGTTCACGGGCCCAGCCGCTCCGCGGCATGTGGGATCTTCCCGGACCGGAG